TCAAATAATGCTGATATAATTGATTAAAATTAGGTATGTTTTTGAATGGAATCCATACCTATACACACTAGTGCGGTAATAAATCTGTCAATCATTGCCAAAGTTTTGTCTTAAAATTGCACATTTTAAAATAAGTTTGAGCGATGATTTGCCATCTGATATTGAGAACGCAGCTTTAATGTTGTTTCGGATCTTGTGCCAGATAAATCACGGAAGAAATAAATACCAGGAAGCTTTTATCGGTATCAGAAATGGTGCAGTGAACTAAAGATACACACACGAAGAACATCGAACACCAAAGGGACGAGGGTTTTGTATTTTGCTTACTTTGTTAAAATCTACTAATAATTCTTTCTCGCTTGTAGTTGAGTATTTTTCGTTCACGTACGATTTCTGGTACCGATCAAAAGCTTCTTGGTATTTCTTCCGTGGTTTCTCTGGCACAAGATCCGAAACAACATTATTCGTTCTAAAGATCACATAGCAGATTATCGCTTGAAGTTATTATAAAATGTGTAATTTTAAGACACAAACTTTGACAATGATTCCGATGGCAATGACAAAATATCATTACGTGAATTCTGTATTCAATTTTGTAACTAAGGATTTTTAATAAAATAATCATTAAAATAATAATCGTTATAATTGAAGATAAAATATTGTACGTAACACGTAGGACTTACGTGATTACACGACTCAAAAACGTATAGTTTTTGGTATATGTCCTTTGTTTAAGGAAAAAATACCACTACATATGTTTAAGGAAAAAGCTATATTTAACGTTTTTAATACCCAAGCCAACTCTCCATATGAGTTTAAGGTACCCATTTAGTAGCTTATGGGACATAAAAAATGTAAAAAATAAGTTTTTTTAAATAACACCTACACACGTTTTTGATCCTGTCTGAAAATTTTGCTATGATTAATCAATCAGAAACTAAACAAAACATTACTCGTTATGAACGCAAACAAAATTTGAAGTTTCTAAAATAATTGCAAGTTGAAAACCGTCTAATGCACGATCTAAGTAAATCACCCTGTATATTTCGGTCGAGAAGGCTATTAAATACGGCATATAATATACTATTTCAGTAAAAAGTCCATAGTTTTGGTTAATTGAAATATTTGAACTTTAATAATTTATGTACATATAGGAAATTCACCTGAACAACTAATGAATTATTTCTTTCTCCATAGGCCTCAGAAGGCCAAAAAAGGTTGGTATCTCTTAGCGATTCTGAGAAGTTCAGTCCCTTAATTTTCAATCAAAGAGGTACTTTTCAATAAAAAAAATACTTGCTGGTCAATGATATCTACAAATAAACGGCCCACTATGGATGGTTGCACCTTTAATGCAGAATTCAAAATTAAAGAGAGATTCTGGATGGGTTGTTTATTTGAAAACGGTTAAACCTGAAGTCGGATGTGCTTTTGTATGACCTGATTTGAAAAAAAAACATTGAAATGAAGATAACAAAATTAAGAAACACAATATATATTCTGCCAATCTTAACTGTTTAAACTCGATCAATATTTCATACTTTAGCATGAATGCCATTTTCAGGTGAGAAGGCCCTGATCTGGAAGGATGATTTGTTTTCTCGCACGGTTACAGTTTGGAACCCAAGATAGTTCTTTACCACTCCAAAAAAAAAATTATCTTTGGCCAGGAGTGTTAAGTGTTATGTGACGGCCTTGCCGTCACGCTTAGAAATCGTATCTGATCAACCAAACAATGTTATCTGTAAGTTTCTGCAGATGCCAATGTACTCAATACACTTAAACATTAACAAATATTTATTAACTTTCGGAATATAAAAAGGACCTCCGCTACTCAAACTATTTGTTAGTGAATTCAAAATGTCACACCTATTAGGCGTAAGAATAGTATGCCTATTGGGGCTTTTTCTTTCTGAAACAGTTTCCGGAGATGCAGAGTTTGATGCATTTGTGAACGAAATTTTCAGTTTTATCAACGATACGGATTCTTATGTGTCACGTACTAATAATGATGAATTCTTTGGCAATGCAACGGACTCTAATAGCACGTTGGGTAAGATTGAATCCAATTTAATAGAAAAACAAGTTGTTAAGAAGCTTCAATTGATGCTTCTATAATCCCAAATGTAATTTTAGATTATGGAACGTACGATTTTATACTTGTGGGCTCCGGTTCAGCTGGTGGAGTTTTAGTCAATCGACTAACTGAAGTTGAGAACTTCACAGTATTACTGCTGGAAGCTGGAGCGGAAGACCCGGTAATATCTCAAGTAATTGGACTATACTCCTATATGCTAAGCTCAAGCTGCGATTGGGGATATTACACTACACCACAAACGGACGCGTTTTTAGGTACCTATACAGCAAAGATTCTTATCGATTAGATTCAACCCTCAATCAAATCTCTTATTTCAGCTAATACTGACAGAACAA